CGTAATCAGTAGTTTGCAGTGCGCTCGCTGTGCACCGTATTCGACCATTCCGACCTAATTTTCAATATACGGATTGGCATGATTGACATTCTATTTTCATTTCACATTGTAGGTATTTATAATTTTCATTTTTATTTGAAATGTACAAACTGAAAAAAAAAGTCGATGTTTTTGTTCACGCTTGCAGTAGTTGCAGTAAAAATGACTGGTGATTTTTGAATTTGCAATTTTTCAGTGATTCATAATTCAACATATCGATCTAATATTGGTATCAGAATTTTCCTTCAGTGCCTCTGAGCGTCAATAAGTTATAATTCAATTTGAATATTGTAATGTAACCTATTGTGCCTCTGCCTATGTAGGTTTTATGGCAAGAAAAATGTCAGCAGTCCAAGAGCTGAGTAGGTATTGAAACATCGTAAAAAAGCTCTGGTGACGAAAATGTAATAAATGTATAACTTCCAGAATATCATTTATTTTCAAAGACGCATGTAGCGGTTATAAATAATATATATGCATCCATCGCGGGCAACATTATACCAGAGATTATACACTCATCAGAAGTCATTATACCTACGGCTGCACGGCGGGCTCGGCCAGCCGACTACGAAGGAGTGGGGTGGCTTGTTACAGGAACGGCGTAGACCGATTTAGTCATTGTTGTGCTCCTCGCGTTAGGTGAGTGGTTGTCGGTTATGTTGATTTTTTTGAGTTTACGTTACGTTTTCAACAGAATATAAATATTTTTTGTTCACGAGTTATTTTATCCTTATCTTCTTTCATTTTATTTTTTCGACTTTCTTGTTATTATTTTTTCATACCAACTAACCCTTATCCACCTCCTTTTCCTTTCCCCATTTCCCCTGGCGAGAATGCTCTAACCTCGTGGTTCTTGCTGGACAATTCAATTTTTTGGTTATGTGTACAGGGTGATTCACCATAAATGTCCCCCCCTCTAGCTCAGTTATTTTTGAACCGATTTCAAAATTTAAAATATCATCTTGAATGATTTTTGATTGAGTTTTTTCCGCTACATCAGAAAATACAGGGTGCTCAGAACAAACGATCTACAGGGTACCATTTGATTTTTTTATATGGAACACCCTATTTTTCATTGTATTTTTAGATTCTCCCTGAAAAGCTGATTTGCTCAATGTATCACACTTGGGGTCTATCGGGAATGATTACAGAGATATAGGGTGTTCAAAATCGAGATTTTTCAACTTTAGGATTTTTTTGAGACGAAACTATTCATCATCGGTCAAAACGGCTTTCATGTCCATATCTCAACTTTTGATTTACTATCTACTGACATTTAATAATTGGAACAGATACAGGGTGATCAGAATTCTGAATCTTGAACCACCCTGTAAATGTTCCAATCAAATCTCAATAGACAGTTAATCAAAAATTAAGATGGAAACATAGGAGCCGTTTCGACCAATAATGAATAGTTTCGAGACAAAAAAATCCTAAACTTGAAAAATCTCGATTTTGAACACCCTATATCTCTGTTATCATTCCCGCTAGACCCCAAGTGTGATGCATTGATGAAATCAGCTCTTCAGGAAGAATCTAAAAATACAATGAGATACAGGGTGTTCCATTTGGAAAAATCGAGTAGTACTCTGTTGTAGATCATTTGTTCCGAGCACCCTGTATTTCCTGATGCAACAGGAAAAAAATTCTGAGAAATCATTTCAGATCTTCCTTCAAATTTTTAAATCGGGTCAAAAATAAGTGAGCTAGAGGGGGGGACAATTATGGTGAATCACCTTGTACATGCTTATTTGCCATCGAACTTCACTCAAGCCGCTGACCCAACGTGTTACGTTCGCATTTTAGAGCAATATCTATACCCTGGCCGACCCAGGTTCTGAGGGCACGAGCCGTCACTGCGACCACGGTCACTTGCCATCTGCTCGGGATCCGCCGACTTGTGATTCTTGATCGTCTCGCCGACAGACAGAATGATATGCTTGAAACATGATAAAAAAAGGAAGGATCCAAGAAAACAAGCCTTCGTCGGGAGATTTTTTTATTATGAATAATGGAACACACGAGATATAGCCTTAGTAATAAGAAGGTCTTTACGCACTAATAAGCATATCGCAGTTTTCGTTTATTCCGCCAGTATAGGTATATGTCATGATCGCGTAATCTGCCAACAGCGGATGACATAACTGTCAAGAATTATAATTCAGACTGTTTGTCCACACTTTTTTGATGTACTATATGGCAGTAGGTAAAGTATAGTACTATAGTACGTTAATGCGTGTTGTAAAGCAATTACGCACTCGCCGCCTCGCGGCTATATACGTGCGTAACTTTTCCATTCGTGCGTAATATATGCTTCTTACAACACATATTACGTGATATACTATTATCAGCAAAGCAAATAACTATCAAAAGGTTAACATATACAGGGTGTTTCATAATTAAATGCTGATCCTATATAAAGGGCGATAATCCTTGGATGATTTCGAGAAAATTTTTCATGTGAACATAGATCCGTAACAGCTTCGTTTCTGAGATACAGGATGTTGAAATTTAACAAAAAAATCAGTTATTCCCCAATTTCTCTGAAACCGCTCTGGATTTTCTGTTCAATTTTGGTACATGCCAAGTATGCATAGGAATAAATTTTTTCCATAATAAAGGATTTCTTAATTTCCATCAGTGGCGTCCCTGTTAACATACCCTGTTATATTTTTCATCAAAATTATGATACGCCACTGTATTTTTTCCAAATAAATATTATTTTTGTAATTATCCTCTATCTTCTCATAAAAATGATCTCTTGTCTTTTTCGTCCGGCGAACGGTTTTTGAGTTAGAAAATAAAATGCATTAATTTGCTTGTCCCTATTCGATTTTTACTCTTAGTCTTAATTTCACAATTGTGGTAACCAAAAGATCTAAGCAATATTTTTGTAATTTTATGGTAACTATTTTTAAGTTTTTGTATGCATACTTGGCATGTACCAAAATTGAAGAAAAACGCCAGAGCGGTTTCAGAGATATTGGGGAATAACTGATTTTTTTGTTAAATTTCAACATCCTGTATCTCAGAAACGAAGCTGTTACGGACCTATATGTTCACATGAAGAATTTTTCTTAAAATCACCCTAGGATTATCGCCCTTTAGGATCAGCATCTGGGCAGGATCGCCAAATTCTGATTCTAGGATTGATTCGTTGACTGATCGACAGAATTAGTTGCTTTAAAACAAAACACGCAAAAAGGATCTAAGAAACAGTTCCTTGTTGTGAGATTTCTTCATGGAATAATGATAAAAATATCGTATCAGCAAAGCAGCAAACAGCATTATCAAAAGGTAAAACAGTTAGTTTTTTTAATTGGCTCGGCCGTTACTTGATGGAAATCCATGGCAAATGTAAAAACTTCACAAACGATAAGATTTCCACTAAATTCTCAAACACACGACATATTTCGCTAACACATCACAGTAGCTTCGTCAGGTGATATATGGAGTTCATTGTACCAGTATTATATCACCTGATGAAGCTATACTGTGTTAGCGAAACATGTCGTGTGTCGTGTTTGAGAATTTTGTGGAAATCTTATCGTTTGTGAAGTTTTTACAAAAACAGTTAATGTAATGAAACGCTATCAACATCTATCAATAACGACGCACGGCCGGAAGTACGTGAACAAAAATGTGCGAAAATGTCAGTCGAGAATTTCATGAAATCAATGATAATAAAAAAACATGGTTATCGCAATTACATAGGCCTGCCCATACCACGTCCACCCGACATCTGGGTGGGATCACTGGGAACCGTCGGCTTCTGATTCTTGGTCGTTTAGTCAAGAAACAGAATGAGATGCTTGATAAAAATGTCAGTCGAGCATGACATTAATAAATACACATGTTTTAATATCGTGGGTATATAATCAATTAAAATTATTGATTAATTGATTATATAATTAAAATTATTAATGGCCTGCCCATACCACGTCTGCCCGACCTCTTGGCGTGATGCGCCGACTTCTGATTCATGATCGTCTCGTCAACAGACAAATGAGTGCTTGACAACAACAAAAAAAGGGAGGATCCAAGAAAACAATTCTTTGTTGTGAGATTTATTTATTATGAATAATGGAAAATAATCTATCAGCAAAGCAAACGTTATCAAAAGGTTACACAGTTAATATTGTGAAACGCTTAATAACGACGCACGGCCCAAAGTATTAGAACAAAATGAAGTTCGAAACTTTCAGACTAGTATGATATAAATAAAAATAAACATGGTTTCCAACAAAATAATCATATTGTGAGATTTCTTCTTTGGATTATGAAAAATATCGTATCAGCAAAGTAAAGGTTGAACAGTTAATATTCTGAAACGCTTATAATGCATGGCCGGAAGTACTTGAACAAAAATGAAGTGCGAAAATGTCAGTCGAGCATGAAATTATTAATAATTAAAAACCATGGTTATCAATTACATGGGCTTGCCCATATCACGTCCGCCCCGCATCTGGGCGGGATCCGCAGACTTCTGATTCTTGATCGTCTCGTCGACGGACAAAATGAGATGCTTGACAACAAAAAGATAAAAAACGAAGGATCCAAAAAAAATCTTTTTTGTGAGATTTCTTTATTATGAATAATGGAAAATAGTCTATCAGCAAAGCAAACGTTATCAAAAGGTTACAAAGTTAATGTTAATGAAACGCTTAATAACAACGCACGGCCCAAAGTATTCGAACAAAAATGAAGTACAAAAATTTCAGACCAGCATGAAATGAATAAAAATAAACATGGTTTCTAACAAAACAATTCTGTTGTGAGATTTCTTTATTGAACTATGAAGAATATCGTATCAGCAAAGCAAACAATATATCAAAAGGTTAAACAGTTAATGTTGTGAAACGCTTAATAACGACGCACGGCCGGAAGTACGTGAACAAAAATGAAGTGCGAAAATGTCAGTCGAGCATGAAACTAATAATAATGAAAAACATGCTTATCAATTACATGGGTCTGCCCATACCACGTCCGCCCGGCATCTGGGCGGGATCCGCGGACTTCTGATTCTTGATCGTCTCGTCGACGGACAGAATGAGACAAGTCGCTTCGGTGGCGGCTGTCAGAGCGTTCACCTTGATGATGGCCGGCTCCCACACGCACGCTTCGTAGTTATCGGAGATGTCTTCTTTGCCGATATCGACTCCGTACCAGTTGCTGCCCTGGGGAAATTCATGTTTCGGATAGTACTTGAAATTTAATTCGAAATGTTCTTTGCCCGCTTTTCAATGGGGAAGTTTCCAATATCGAGGGTCATATCTCACTAGAATTTGGAAAAGTTCAATACACAGTGTCATTTCATCAAGTAAAGGGCTCAGAGGATTTCCCATTTCATGGATAACCTGGAGCTAATAATACATAAACTTTCATTGATAAAACAATGTTTGTATTGGTAGAGATACGTAGATGACGTTATAGTATGCTTTAAATTGAAGGAACCAATAGACAATTAGACAGTTTTCACCAATATATTAATACTATCCACCCAAACATAAAATTCACAATTGCAGCATAATAGTATGATCACTTTTACATAAACAGGACTTAAAAGTAGCATATAGAACAAATATGACGTTGGGAAAGTTTATCAAAACAATAAAGACAAAACTTCCAAATTAGACAGGTCGTACGTTTAATCAGCGCATTCATGAACATAAGATGAATTTTTTGAAAAAGACAAAAAATTCAACATACGCCAACCATATAATAGAAGAAAACCATAGTTTTGATGATAATTTCGAAATTCTACACGTAGAAAATGAAGGAATGAACTCAATCATTTTGAATCATTAGAAATCAAAAAACTAAAAAATTTTGACATTTTACTTAACGATCAATTAGACCTGAATAGTTCACCACTGTTGAATTTGTTTTCTTAATAGGTAATATTTATTTGCTATCAAACCTTTCAAGTTAATCAGGTACACTGTAATGTAATATACTACTCCAAATAATATATATTTTATTGATCTGCTTTGACAATTGTGCAGTTCAATTTTTAATGTGTACTGTTTATTGTCCTTTTACACTCTTAATAAGTTTTTTTTTATATTATTAATTTAGTTGTATATGTTTATGTTATGTTATACACTTATATTGACTTTTGAATGCTATGCTTTGTCAATAAGAAATACTGTTTCTTAGACAATAAAGTATATTTCTCTCTCTCTCTCTAATGTAGATATTGTTCCTATTTCCGAAAATGAAGGTTTATCAAACCTGTCCACAGGTAACAAATCCTTCAAGTTGGGAAAGTAGGATATATTAAAGTTAAGCATGCCAAGGTTGGTTTAGTTCATTGTACTAGTATACCACCTGACGAAGCTACTGTGTTAGCGAAACATGTCTTGTGTTTCGTGGAAATTTTATCGTTTGTGAAGTTTTTACATTTAATCGCTGAACAGACTTTTTCGATTAAATTTCGAAAGAGTTCATGAAAAGTGGATTCTATTCCAATTTTACATAATGTGCTTCTAAGTTGAACGTTTTATTGCAATGTAAGAGTTTTTGATATTTTTTTGATTTCTTCTAATTGTAACTTCGACAAAACTGTCCTAAACTTTGGTTGGATACGTTGAGTAGTTAAATAATATTTTGATTTATGTCTTGGCATCATTGTAGTACTGACAATTTATCACATGTACAAAAAATCGCTTAAGCCCCTGTGATTTTGTCATTATGATAGGGGAGAAACTTTGCCCTAAGTTTTCCAGCGACAAAACAGAACCTAGATTTTGCCAACCGTGACAACCAGAATTGTGTAACTAATCTTTGATAGCGTTCATGTCAATCTTTCTCAATCTTGCGTTGTCAGAATACTTTGTAATCTTTGGAGAAATGTCGCGATTTGGAGTGGAGAAATTGACGCATTCCTCAAATTGTCTCACCGAATCACACTCAAGCATTTTTTTTGGGCCGAAGAAAACTTTACATTTATAATTCGAGCTTTGTTGGTTGGCTTTAGGAAATTCGAGACAAAAAATTACCAGGAGAAATTACTTGTCCTATAAACTCGTGATTTTTTTGACGGCAATTTTTTTCGTTGAATTTCCAGGCAACAAAATTCTCATTGAAATGTCAAGTTGACTTAGACAAAATAAAGCTCTTGCAAGTGAAAAAAATCAATTAAAATTTTTGCTCCTGAACTTTGCATCAAACAAGAGATCAAACATCAGAGATATTTGAAACGGGAATAATAATTGTCGATAATTTGTGATTGAAAGTTAGTAGCATAATGAAGCTACTAGCATGAAATGATTTTGTCGGTGTTAATTTTTCTTAAAATAACAGACATTTAGTAGGAATTGAAGAGTGTTGAAACTGAAAATACTTATACTCGTTTTGCAATAATAACGTTCATATAGAGAAACCGTGTAATGGTTAAGCGTCGTTGCCCCACCTACTCGAGTATGGCAGGTGAGGTAAACGATAATCCTAGCGGTCGGGCCGAACAATGGACTCGCTCGAAGGAGAAGCTAACTAGCCATGAGAATCGGTCGTAATCTATTTTTTAAATCGAAAATCAAGATGGCGGATTCAATATGGCGGACGAGTTTTGTGAACCGATTTTATTCAGAATTGGTATCTGGGGGTTGTCGGAGTCGGAGATAATGATTCTTTCATCAAAATTTGAAAATCCATGATGGCAGATCTAATACGGCAGTAACTATGATCCAATTTCATTCAAAATTTGTATCTGAATCTAGGGGATTTTAGGGTCGGAGATTGATTCTTTCATCAAAATTAGGAATCAAAGATGGAGAATCCAACATGGCGGACAAGTTTTTTAAATTATGATCCGATTCTATACAAAATATTTTATGTATCTAGGGGTTTTCGGGGTCGGGGATTATGATTGTATTCTTTAATATTAGGAAATTCAAGATGGCAGATCCAATATGGCGGAAGAGCTTTGTAATATTAGTTTGAAAAACTATAATGAAACACGCTTTTATGAATAGCCAAGCGTTTTTATAGATAGCCAAACTAAAAAGTGAGTAGAAAAGAAGAGTAGTTTGGAAAAAATTAAGAGATATAGTGCCGAACTAAAAAAAACTAGAAAATAAATAGAACAGTTTGAAAAACTACAGAATTCCGCTTTTATGGATAGCCAAACCAAATAAAATAAAAGTTGAAAAGGAATATTCTCAGATGAATTATGAACATACAAAAATAGATATATATTTATATAAAGCAATACATTGAGAATTCGCATTCTCTATGTGATGAGAATATTTACTCTTTTTCAGTTGATTCAATAGAAAACAACTACTTTTTTAGCTATATGCCACGACGAACATTGAATTATATCTATTGAACGATGAGAGTTTGAAAATAAAATATAAAAAAAATCTGAAATTGAGAATTTGTATTCTCCTTCAGACAAAAATATGTATATGCACACATCATTCTGAATATTCAACAGAAAACAACTACTTTCATGGCTATTTGCCACGTCGAACATTGAATTATATCTGATGAACATTCAAAAGGAGAACATGAAAAATAAAGAATAAAATCCTCCGAAATTGAGAATTGACATTCTTGAATAGAATAGATCGAAAGTGAATATTTCAGAAATCAATTCATCCTTTATTGAACAAAATACGAATATTGAACAAAATACGAATAAACGTCCTAGATCAACCACAAGCCCAGACATTCAGGAGAATACTAAAAAACCATGTGATCGAAGTCAAAACATGTCTCTGCTAATCAATCAACAAGAAAGTGAAGAAGTCCATGTACTCCATGCCACAGAAACCCCTATAGATACCGAAGTTACTATTTCAAAAGTGTTTGAATGTATCGATAAAATTAACGAAGTAACAACCCGGGAGTATAAAGAAAAACTAGTTTTCAATAGAGAAGATCAAGCCTGTGTACATAAAGTCAGTGGAACAATACTGAAATTGTTTACCTTATTAGTCCATAGATTGGGAAACTCGGAAAAAGAAAATATAAAACTGAAGTACGATCTAGAAATACTTGAAAAAGAAAAAGATAGTTGGGTACTAATCAATCAAAAGAATGCCAGTGCGGTCAAATCAGAAGTGCAGCCTCCCACTCAGAACACCTTTAGTACAAGAGAGTCAAATGACTGCCAAAATGAATCAACTGACACTCTGAAGACGAAAAGGACGACTGAAAAAACCTACAGTTCAGTCACCAAAACCTCATATAATGAAAACATAGGAAAGATTCCCACTGAAAAATGGACTACTCCACCACAGGTCAGGAAACGGCATGAAACAGTGATACGTATGAAAGATGAGAGTGAATCTAAAGATAGTAAAAATGTTCTGCATCAAATTAAACAGAGTCTTTCAAAGAACCCAACATTTATTGGAACATTCAAGAGTGTGAGGAAACTAGAAAGCGGAGGAGTTATAGTTGAATGTCATGATGAATCTCAACAGCAAAAGTTGACTGAGACACTGGAGAACCAAGGAAACTTCCAGCTCAATAATCGGCAAAACACGGATCCAATGTTAATGATTACAGGGATTGAAAAGGGATATGATACAGATGAATTCATAACTGAACTAATAGAACAAAATCCAGTCCTAAAAGATACCTTTGGATCTGATGTACGTTCAAAAATAAATTATATAACAAAGAAAAACTGCCGGAATGATAAGAAGGAGAACTGGGTAGTACAAACAAGCCCTGAAATATTTAGATGGATTATGAAAAACGATAATCTAACATTTGATCTTACTAAAGCATATGTAAAAGAATATGTGAATATTGCCATGTGTTTCAAGTGCTGTAATTTTGGCCACATCACCAAATACTGTAAAAGTACACCATGCTGTCATAAGTGCAGTGGAAATCACGAAGGTAAACTATGTCCTGAGAACACAAGATTAGAATGCCCTAACTGCAAACGACTTAGGCTGCAAGATAGGGTACACACAGCCAGATACGCCAAATGCCCAGCTTTCCTGCAACGAATAGAAAAACACAGAGAAACCACATACTACCAGCCAATGCACCAGCTTTTTTTAGTATAGAAGTACAGTCAGAACACATAGACTCCCAAGTGCAAGAAGTGACAGAAATTCAACAGCCAGAAGTGACTTTCGAAACAAATACTACCACAAACGGAAAACATGATGTCATCAAGGTAATGCATATCAACGCAAGATCAATCT